TCATCTGTTATGTAGTATCTTCTGTTGCTCCTGCTGTACGGCCAAGGCGGATGTGCACCGGTCATCCCTATATAGGATCCGAACCCGTGGCGGGAGCGCTGCCGCGCTCCCAGCACTGCACTCTCCCAAGTGCGCCACTGTCTGCACTTTGCTACATTTTTTTAAAGGTATTAATCTCTTTGTAAATTTCCTCCTTCATATCCTGGATTATTTTTCTCATTTCATTATGTTGTCTAACTGAGTCTTCTCATATCTCAGTGAGTATTCTTAAGATTGTTGCTCATAATTCCTTTTCAATCATTTCCAGGGTTTCTTGTTCTATAGGGTCTGATATTTGAAAATTACTGTGTTGTTTTGGTGGTATCATATTTTCTTGGGTTTTCATATTTCTAGTATGTCTGTGTTGACGTCTGGTCATCTGTTATGTAGTATCTTCTGTTGCTCTAGAGTGGGCTGTGAGGAGAGAGACATCCTCTTCTTTCTCCATTCTCTGCTGGTGAGTCTCCTTATTTCAATGCAGTCAAGTGTCCGGTGGGCAGCCTGCAGGGTGGCTGTGGCTACTGCTGTGGCATTGACCTGCATTTGCAGCAGCCATGGGTGAGGTGCTGGCTATGGTGGGCCACCCGTATGGAAGTGGTGTTTTCAGTGTGCTCTCTTGCCTGCTTCCAGGCACAGGTCCAAAGGTTCCGAATATGGTGGGTGCTGCCCTCGGCTCCTCAACATATAAATTTTGAGGGGGCACATTCAACCCATACATAACTGTGTGCATGTAGCTCTATACAGTTTCATCACATGCAACTTCCTGTAGCCATCGTCACCACCAAGATACTTAACTACCTGTGCCACAAGACCCTCTTCCTAACAACCTCTATCCCTAACCCCTGGCAACCACTAATCTGTTCTCTATAAGTATATTCGTGAATTTGATTTTAGTTATTTTATTATTTTTTTAATAATTAATAATGTAAATAATATATTTTAGTTAACCTAGAATCTCTAAAATAGAGCCATTTCAACACACAATTAATATTTAATTTTTTTTTTTTTCTTTTTTTGGCTGCTGGCCAGTAGGGGGATCCAAACCCTTGACCTTGGTGTTATCAGCACCATGCTCTAACCATGAGCTAACTTGCCAGCCCTAAAAAATTATTTAGTATGGGCCAACCCCGTGGCGCACTCGGGAGAGTGCAGCGCTGGGAGCACAGCAACGCTCCTGCTGCAGGTTCAGATCCTATATAGGAATGGCCTGTGCGCTCACTGGCTGAGCGCAGTGCGGGCCACACCACATCAAGGGTTGTGATCCCCTTACCAGTCACGAAAAAGACAAAAAAAAAAATTATTTAGTGAGATATTTCACATCCTTTTATTTCCTCATAAGTCTTTAAGAATCTGGTATGTATTTTACACTTTGGCACATCTTAATTCAAACTCACCGCAGCTCTCTTGCTCAGTAACCACACCCACACGGGGCAAGTGGTTACTGTTTTGTACAGCCCACCACTAAAGTATCAAAATGAAATGATTTTATTGTGAGAACTTGACTTTTTCAGTTTATTAAAGTTTTCTTTGGGGCCAAGTATGTAATCAGTTTTGTAACTAACATGGTCTTAGGAAAAGAATGGATTTGTTTTAGATAGGACCAGAGCTGTATATGAGTATGTGTATATATACACATGTATGTATAGAAAATGTGTATATTCTACATAGATAGAATATTCTAAATAGAATATGTATATTTTCTATCAACCTTGCCATGATATTAAGAGTCTTTATGTTCTTGTTATATTTGTCCATCACATCTGCCAAGTTCTGAGAGAGATGTTAAAAAGCCTCCCATTATAATTATATTCTTCTCAGGGCCGGCCCGTGGCTCACTTGGGAGAGTGCGGTGCTGATAACACCAAGGCCACAGGTTCGGATCCCTATATAGGGATGGCCGGTTAGCTCATTGGGAGAGCCTGGTGCTGACAACACCAAGCCAAAGGCTAAGATCCCCTTACCGGACATCTTTTTTTTTTAAATAAAGATGACTGGTAAGGGGATCTTAGCCTTTGGCTTGGTGTTGGCAGCACCACGCTCAACCAGTGAGCTAACCGGCCATCCCTATATAGGATCCGAACCTGAGGCCTTGGTGTTCTTAACACCACACTATCCCGAGTGAGCCATGGGCTGGCCCTCCAGTCATCTTTTAAAAAAGGGGGGGGGGCAGCCCATGGCTCACTTGGGAGAGCGTGGTGCTGACAACACACCAAGTCAAGGGTTAAGATCCCCTTACCGGTCAACTTTTTAAAATAATAATAATAATTATTGTTATATTTTTCTCAGTATCTCCCTGCATTTCCAAGAGTTTTTGAAATTTACATTTAGCTCCATTTGTGATTTGTATTTAGGTTTATGACCATTCATTCAACCAAGTTTTTAACCATCTCCTATGTGTCTGGCACTGGAGACACAGCTGGGAACAAGACCAAGATCCTTGTCCCCAGGGGCTGACCTGCTAATCAGGGAGATAGAGGATAAACATGTAAACACATAAACAATCAGGAAAGTATCTGAATATAATGAGGCCTGTGCACTTGAATTAAAACAGGGTGATGGAATTGTGATCTGAGGTGGTTGTCAGGAAAGTCACTGAAAGTTGGGAACAAAGGAACAGCTAGTGCAAAGGCCCTGAGGCAGAAACCTGCCTACATGTTTCAGACATGGAGGAGGCCCCTGTGGCTGGAACCAAATGAGTAAGTGAGCCAGAGGAGGAGGGATTTGAGGGCACAGAAGAAACAAAGGGGGCCAGATTGTGTGGAACCTTGTGGGCCATTGTATCTTTTACTGTTTTATTACCTATCCATTCATTCATTCAAATATTTAATGAAGGGATGGTCCATGGCTCTCTCGGGAGAGTGTGGTGCTGACAACACCAAGGCCACGGGTTCAGATCCCGTATAGGGATGGCTAGTTAGCTCACTTGGGAGAGTGTGGTGCTGACAACACCAAGTCAAGGGTTAAGATCCCCTTACCGGTCATCTTTTTAAAAAAAAAAAAAAAATTAATGAACACTAAGTACAGTACTATAGTATGTTCTTGCAATAAATAAGACAGATAAGGGGCTGGCCAGTTAGCTCAGTTGGTTAGAGCGTGGTCTTTTAACACCAGGATCAAGGCTTTGGATCCCCATACCAGCCAGCCGCCAAATAAAAATTTTTTAAAGAGACAAATAAGGTTCCTGCTGCCTACATGGAGCTCACAGACTGTTGGGGGAAGAAGACAAATAAACAGATACATAAGCACTAGAAACGTATTTGTTCAATTACAAAATAAAATACAACCTCTCTGTTTGCCAGGCACTGTTCTAAGCACTTTCTGTATATTCACACATTTAATTTTTGTGGCAACATTATGAAGTAGGTATAATGATTATCCCCATTTTACAAATGAGGAAACTGAGGCATGGAGAGGCCAGCAGCCCGCCCAAGGTCACACAGTTAGTGCCAACAGGCCTTTCTTTCCTTCTCTGACCCAGCCCTTCTCCTAAGTCACCTAAGCCTCTTTTCTCCCCCCAGACTCCTCCACCCTGCTTCCCCCAAGGAGTCCTGGGGCCCTGGGGGTGACAGCCCTTCCGGCCCCT